AAGTGCTGCTTGTGTGAATAACACATTGTTATTTACTGCAAAAAAGTTCATCCGGCAAATGAGCAGGGTTCGTATGCATAATATATAAGGTTATTATAGTTAAACACATTATTTTCCACATACTGTACATTATTGTTTCTCCTCTATGCCCCGCCTTTTTGAAATGCGTCGATTTTTACAAAGCTCATCGGTCTGAAAAAGCGAGGTGTGCTGTGATTGGCCAGCTATCCAGTGCGTTGTGATTGGCCGAATACCTCAAGCGTGAAACGAAAATGTTACGCCCCTCACATACTGTTGATGCCGTGTCCCGGCCGGAGTGACGAGACAAAAACATTAAAACCCATTACAAACGAGGCATTTGTTGCATCCAGTGGGGACATAATTACTGATTATAATGACTTATACTGTCTTTTTACTCGTTGCGTTGCATTGCATTGTGCCACGTAAATCCTTTAAATGAAAACGTACTTACAGTTTCTTCGCGTGAACATTTGGGCGGCGTTATGCAAATCTTCCCACAGAGCGACGTAGGTATGTTGGGGCATGTTAGAACGAGCCGTTTTAGGTAGGTGTGGTTAACTCTTAACTTTTATAAAGAATATCTCTTTGGATTTGAGACTTTAGTCTTTGCAACTTTACAGATCTTCTTTATGCACCAAGAGCTTGTAACACTCCAAAGAGAAAGGAAAAATTGAAATCGCATCATATGACCCCTTTAAAGTGAGGGTTTTTTTTCTCTTAAATTTAAGATTTTGTGGAAGGCTCTGACAGCTCATTATAATGACCAATAAAACTCTTCAGAGAGCGTGAAGTAGGATAATGTTTTTTTCAAATATTGTTCCCGCGCCGATTAGTGAAGTTTAACTGAGAGACAATTGTGAATGAAAGGAAACGCATCCTGTGTGCCCTAAATGAGTTTCTGAAGATCTTCCATGAGCGTTTAACAGTCGTTTCTTTGTCCACTAAAGCCTAAGTGATTTCAGAAAGTTTTCATCATTTCAATCTGTATTCATACTGTGAATCTGTCTGTCTGTCGTTAGGCTGCAGAGCCGTCTCTGTGTGCGACAGACGGGGAGTCAAATCTCTCCTCTATTTTTAGACGTGTTTAAAGTTTGAATTTCATTTCAAACACCTGAACACTCTCGCTTTATTTATATG